CAACTGGTAGAGCTGCTGCCTCTCAGCGAGCAGGTCCCTGGTTCAAACACCGGTCCGGGGGCCTTTCTGGGTGGAGTTTGCATGTTCTCTCCGTGCATGCGTGGGTTTTCTCCGGGTGCTCCGGTTTCCTCCCACAGACCACAAACATGCATGTTAGGCTGATTGGTAACTCTAAATTGTCCCTAGGTGTGAATGAGAGAGTGAATGTTTGTTTGTCTCGTTTGTCTCGATGTGTCCCTGTGATGGACTTGCGACCCGTCCTGGGTGTACCCTGCCCCTCTCACAGTAATTGCTGGACATGGGCACCAGCGACCCCTGTGACCCAAAAATGGAATAAGCGGGTAAAGATAATGGATAGATGGACATTAGTTCAGGCGGCGCAGTTTCTCTTTCTTCGTGAACGAATCCATTCCACTTGATTAATAGGAGAATACTCAATCTAATAAAACTCCACTCCAGGTTTTCCTGGTGACCTCCACCTCTACACACAGAGCAGAAACTGTGCAGCTGCTGAGTCTCCTGCTTCGGTAGAAAACGGGCACAGGTGCAGGAGATGGAGACACCTCTATGTTGCTCACTCGCCAGTTTAGCAGCTTAGTGTGGGCAGTTGTTGACCGGGGGGTTGATCATCAACATATATTCATGTTAGGAGGATGCTTGAGTGCAGCGCTACGTCTGTAGCATGTTCTCTCAGCAGTAACTGTGATGCTGTGAGACGCTGCAGGTGTAAGAGACGCTGTGTGTTCAGGTGCATTAAAGCTGAAATGTCTTTAAAACCCCCACACCTTATTGTCCTCAAGCTTCATGAGAAACATCATTTAGATGAGTCGTGTTGAACACAAGTAAAAATGTCCAGTGGTGATGTTTTTTTTTTCTCTATAAAGACAAATAGTGCAGACCTGATGCTCTGTGTTAAAGTGTATTAAAGTTTAAATGTCTTTAAAACCTACAGCTGAATTTACACAAACTTGGTGAGAAATATGTTTTAAATGTGTGGAATTGAAGGAAATCTAGGTGAAATGCTGCTTTTTTTGTACATTAGTGCACATTTCTTTTGCGCACACGCACGTGCGCACACACACGCGCACACACACCTACACACATCGTTGTGTCCCCGACATTACGGATGCTTCTGACGCCCTTGACGTGGACCATTGGAACAAAGAGCTACAGAGGAAAACAGAGCATGAACGGCTACGGGGAGCACAATCCACGGACAAAGGAAGAACACAAAGATGCTGAATTTATAAGGAGGCTGACAAGACAAAATGACAAACACTTGGGGTGATTAAAGTTGAACACATGTGAGACAGGATCTGAACAAGGGCCAAAAACACCGGGGAAGGAATAACAGATGATACAATAAAACACAAAGATCTCACGACAAACACATATTCTCACATTTCCAGTTAATGGCTATTTAACATGGTCAGACCTACATCACAAAATCATTGCCTTTATTAATTATAGTAGCCTAATATTACTTTTCAGTATAGTAGTTTAGTTTTAGAAGAATTTCAATCTTCAAAAAAGTTACATTTACTGCTGAAAACCAAATGTATTTTAGTAGCAAGCCTATCTTGCAACAGGCTATAGCCTACATAACACCTTTTATGCTCCAAGAGATGACACTGCTGTATGCCTTTATCTTTTGCTCATTTCTCCTCTTCTTCTTTTCTCTTTTTCCTAAACTGGACACCTGATAATTTGACCTTTTTTGTCCATCTTCCATGTGTGCAATTGGCACTCCCCCAACATAAGTTAAAACAAATTATTGTTGTTGCTGTTGTCCATTGTTGTCATCATTCTTTGTTGAAATCAGGTCTCTCTTGTAAATGAGTCCTCGAGGCTCAATGGGATTTACCTGTAGAAATAAAGGTTGAATGAATGAAAAATTAGGCCTAAACCAATTCACCTTCCTTGGTGTGTAGATTTGTTTTTGTAGTACATATGTTTTCATCGATTTCACTCAAATTAAAAATCAACAACAAATAATAAACAAACAATAATAATGAATCAATCCAGGCTTAATTCTCTTATCTAAGGCAAAATTCACTCTTTGAGCAGGAATTATTTCAGTTTTACACACGCATGAATTTAGACAAAGTTTGACTATTTTAATAAATAGTTTACTTTGGATTTTGGTTGAAAGAAGTTATTTAATCTGATCAGATAAAGTCATTTATCATCACTGCAAGCAGGAAATGATTTACCAAGTTGCATCAGCTTAAAACAGCATAACCAGACCAAGGTATCATGTCACCAGGTGTCTGCTCCTTACCGGGTCAGTGTTGAATTGCACCTGGTCACTCGTCTTTCTGGGGTTCTCTGGTAGATCTGACCAGAGACACCATGAGGAGGACTCGCCGGGAACTTATTCAGGACTTCCAAAAAAAGTTCAATCTGGTCCTCTGGACATTCAAAAAACAAGAAAAACAAACAAAAAAGAAAAACAAAGCAATAGAAATGTTTCATCTCTCATCCAAGAGACTTCCTCAGTCTGAGGTGCTGTTTTCAGCTCAGTCTCTTAAATAGCACCTTCTCAGAGTGGATCAACCAGTTTGCTGCTGACAACCAAAACCAGCTGATCACATGCTCAAGAAGGACCATCAGCCTAACAATAGATCATTAGCACACTGATGGCTGTTTACTGTTCACAGAGGGCTGAGTGATACTAGCAATCACAGCATTGTAAGAGGGGGACAGTTGAACACGTAGGCCTCCACCCCTGTTTAATGATGGACGGTTTCTTTTCACAAAGATGGCCTCCTTTACTCCTCTCTCAAACCATCGTTCCTCTCTGTCCAGGATGTGAACATCTTCATCCCTGAAAGAGTGAC